GTCCCTTTTTAAGAGTGCCAGAAGTAGGGTTCAGAAGGGGTCCCCTTTTAAGGGGTCTCCCTAAACCCTAAACCTAAATCCTACGAAACCCTGAAACCCTAAAGCCCTAAAACCCAGGGTCCTCTTTAAGGGGTCTCCAGCCGGGCGTCTCGGAGCAGCACCTGAAGGTTACCATCGAAGCCCAACAAATAGCATAGGCTTTGGCCCCAAAGTACCTATATAGGGACTACTTTAAGGCCAAACCCTAAACCCTAAACCCTAAACACCCAAAACCCTAAACCCCCAAAGTATATACCATTCGGGTACATGAACCCTAAACCCTAAACAAGGCAAAAAGCCCCAAGGCCCCACTAAAAGCAAGACCCTATATGAGTTCCTGTTCTTGGTGAAACTAACGGTTTTAAGGTTTTAGGGCTTTAGGGTTTGAGGGTCTTAGTATTTTAGGGTTTTAGGGTTTAGAGTTTAGGGTTTTAGGGTTTAGGGTTCAGGGTTTAGGATGGCTTTGAAATAATGATCCTAGAAGGTAGCCCTAAAACGGAACTACAATGGAGACTGTAGGTACACTCCCCCGACCTTCCGATCTCCCCCTGATTAAGGAAAATACTACCTTCAGTCATTTTCGGGATCCTACTATAACTTATGGTATATTCCTTCATAGATTCTTAAACCCTAAACCCTAAATCCTGAAACCCTAATTCCCAAAATCCTAAGTCCTAAACCCTAAACCCTGACAAGTAAGAAATACCTTAAGGACGAAATGACCCTTAAAAGTAGGAGCCCTATACCTTTATACTATGAATCCCTATATGGTATATGAACCCTGAAACCTTTTAGGGTTCATGCCGTCCTTAACCCCTAAACCCTAAACCCTCTAGAGCCCATAAACCCTAAACCCCATAGAACCCAAACTAACCCTTAATTATAAGAACTCTTAAAGGGTGGTTTGAGTCTTCCTGGCGAAGTGCATCACCACGGAAGTCGGCCGTCACCTCGCACTGAAGAACCTGGGGGCGATAGCTGAACGAAAAAGGCGCAAGGTTTTTAGGGTTTAGGGTTTAGTAGGGTTTAGGGTTTAGGGTTTAGGGATTTTTTAATATGCATTGGACTTTCGCTTTCTCAGAGAATCCCACCCTTAGGCGTGCACAGGTGGAACCCAACGACCAGGTAGTAGAGCTCTAACACGTGGGTTTCGGGAGGGCTTTAGGCAAACCGAAATCATAAACACTGCCCAAATCCGGCCTTAAGCTACCGGGACTGACAGGTTTTGTAAGTTCCTCATATGCCTTAACCTGTCAAAACCTACTGTTTTTGTAGGTTCTTATTTAATATTTTATAAACCCTAGTACGGAATTAACAAGGACCCCGCAAAAATGTAGGTTCTGGTGGGTTAAGGTAACCTCGAGTATACAAGAGACCCTAAACCCTAAACCCTGAACCCTAAACCCCAATAGACCCTAACTCTTCTAGAGAGACGCCGAAGCGGAGTCGCCGCTTCGCTCGTCCTCACGTGGGGGCGCGCTTGGCGGCTCCTGCAAAGATGGGGGGGGGGGGGGGGGGGGNNTGATTAGAATAGGATTTTGGGGGTTCCTTATTATAGTTATAGTATAGTATACCCCAAACCCTATTCTAATTATTAAGGCCTCTATAATAGCCTCCATGTACCCAAATCGCATATACTTGGGCCTCAAAGTAGTCCCTAAAAGCGTAGTTTGGGGCCAAAGTGTATACCCAGAGGGTCCATATATATCCTACCTTACTACCATTATTGAACTAGGCCCCCAAAACCATAATAGGGATGGTCTTCTCGGATCTAAGTCCATACATATAATATGGAGCCTTAGCGACCATACCTGTGGATCCAAGGACCTACTCTTGCAAGCTGCTTGGGTCTTCAGCTAGCCCCTTCCCCGCAGCTCCAACAGCGTCGCTGCAGAGCGAGCTGTCTCCCCCAACCGAGATCGAGCATTGACTGCCTCGAGTGGCTTTCTTTCAAGGCTCCCTGTACCTATGTTGTATATACTTATAGGTTATTTAGGCTTGGGAATACCCACATCGGAACCCTTACATAATGCCTAGATATACTATATACTGTACATACTCAGGCCTTAAATGCCCGCCATAGCGTCGAAGTACATGCTATATACCCATAGGCCCCTAAGTAGTTCCTTTTCATAGTTTATATTTAGAATCCTATAACGTAATCCCAAAAAGGAACTACCTAAACCCGTTTTGAGCCATTATTTTACCTACTTTTGGGGTCCAGGTACTTAGAGGCCTCTGCGTAGGTACATGGAGCCCCAAGGCGCGAAAGAGCCCCCTATGCAAAGCTTCGGGGCTGTCTAGTCGAGCTCGAAACCGCCCTCGACCCACGAGATTAGGGTTTAGGGTTTAAGGTTTCGGGTTTCGGGCTTAGGAATCACTAGATCCATTAGATTAGGGCTGAGGGTGTAGGGTTTCGGGTTTAGGAGTCACTAGATTCACTAGATCCTTTCAAGGCCTCAACCCTGACTACTAACTACTGCCCAACTCCACCCCAACAGCCCTGAACCCAGGAAACTGAAAAATGAACAGCTTTCACACTCCGAAACGGTTTAGGGTTTGGGGTTTAGGGTTTTGGTTTAGGGTTTAGAGTTTAGGTACCAGTTTAGGTACCACCTCTTACACGCTGCCACCATAGTCAATCAGCGGGACTACACTCAGTCAATTTCTCAGCACGCTTTACCAAGATCCGATGGAAGAGTAGACAGGCAGAAAGCAAACATGAACCGATGGTATTTAGCTTCGAGAATAAATTCAATATCATCGCCGTCATCGTGCAACAGTCATCGGAGTGCTTCAAGTTACCGTCGTAGGAGTGAAAACAGTAGTAAGACACGCAATATTACCACCTGCTGCTGCTATTCCTCCTCCTCCTCCTCCTACTACTACTACTACTACTACTTCTACTTCTACTTCTACTTCTACTTTACTACTACTGCTTTACTACTACTGCTACTGCTACTGCTACGACTACTATCACAATAACAACTACTGCTACGCGACTTCTTCAGCATCACTTGGTGTTTTAGCTATTTTTATTGATGCTGCGACTGCTAAATCACAAGGAGGAGAAGCAGAATCCACATGAATGTCAGTTCCAATATTACTACTCTCGTCATCTCTCGTCTGGATGGTTATATTCAATTATAGTTGTTATTATTATGACTGGTGGTTGTGGTTTTGTAGTCGTGGTAGCAGTAGCAGAGGCAGCAGTCCTAGCAGCGATAGTAGTCGTCGTCGTTGTTGTCGTTTTGGTGGCGGTCTGGGTTGCTCCTGCGGAAGGAGTATGGGAAGCCAACGTTGCCAGAGCAGTCGTAGTGGTGATCGAAGTTGTGTCGCAGCAGCGTCGCAGCAGCAGCCGCGGCCAGCATCATCAACTATCAAAAGAAACTGCTGCAGTGCCATTTCGATTGTAGTTGACACCCTTTTTCAAATGATCTTTTTCCCTAGGCTGCAGCCCTCAAATGCTGCACTTGCCAGGACCTCTTCGAACCTCTGGAGCCCCTTAAGGAGCCACTGAATCCACAAGCAGGCTTGGCAGAGGGTCTCAGCCAAAGCCTCAGCCAGAAACAATTTCGAGTGCCTCTTTTGCATCCAGAAACAAGATGCACCGTGTTGGCCTAGTTTTTTTCTCAGGCCCATGCGTGGTTGCTGGATCTTGTCCTGAAGCCTGAACAGAAGTGAGGCAGACACAATATCTTCTGAGTAAGCGGCCTCCAAAGACGGGGCATGCGGCATACCCCGTGTTTCAGCACGAGTCTGCATCTGGCCTTCGCATCACGCGAAGTTGCAAAGGTGGCGTGTACTGCATCGTCCATGCTTGAAATCGGGCATGACAAAGAGTGCATGGCAGAAAGGGGTCTGTGGCGATGATTGTGCTTCTGCCTCCAAGTCAATCAAGCTTTTGATGTTTCACCCGTTTGTCGATATTCGAGCCACGAGCTTCAACTAGTTGATAGGGACAGCTCTTCTGCAATCCGTTTCTCGCCATGGGGTGCTGCCAGTCCTGATCCCAAGCTTGGGTTGGTTGCTTCGGGGGGGTTGGCACTGCAGCGAGGTCTGGACCCAACACGAGCGACCCCTCCAAGCCGCTTGGAGCAGAGAGCTTTCTTGGAAGCCAGTGATTCGACGTCAGTGCCAGGCCAGTCTTCCACAACAAGCACATGAGCGATGATGAGCGGGAGGCAAGAAGAAAGGCGGCCCTCCTCGGTTCCACGACACTTCAGACATCCTGGCATGTGTCAAAGATCTGCCAGGCAGCAGCACAGGCAGCAGAGCAGCGTGCGCAAGACCTGCCTCACGGGCTCGCTGACCTCCGAAAGCGTTTGTTGCTGGTGACGCTAGCCGCTAGCCAGGGCATCGAGAGGCGGCGTCAGTGGGAAGCCGGCGAAGGCATCAGAGCTTACAATCTTACAAATAGGAGGCGGAGGAGCGATAGCGAGTGTCGAGGCCGGCGCTTCCGAAATCAAGAACGAGCCTGGGGCCTGGACATGCTTGGACACTAGTAAGATTTTCGGCTGCAGCTTGAATCATGCACGGAGGCAAGGCATGATGAGACCGGGCGACTTCAATTAGCATGCATTTGAGTCAGAGGTGCGCCGTTTGTACAGAGCACCGGGGGTCTCGCATCTCAGCTGTAGTAGCGGCATCGCTTGCTGCACAAATTTACACCTCTGCTTGAGGAAGCATTCAAGATGCTTCTTGACAGGGGGGACGGACCCTAATTGGATGTTTAGGTGTGGGCAATCTGTAGTCCGGAGTCAGGATTCGGAGCTACAGTTGCCGGTTTGCGCAAAAGACGTGGTGTTGATCGCCAAAAATGGTCACCCCATGTTGTAGGCAGTCCAGCTTGTGGAGTTGTTTCGGACAGCAGCAGTGGTATGATGAGTGGTTGCAGCTGTCCTGTGTGTGCCCTGTCGGTCGGCTCCAGTAGGAGGGACAGACCATGCTCCTCAGCAGCTATGGAGCTCGGCTGGAAGATCAGGTGCGACAAATCCTGGCATCTGTGCTCCTGACTCTTTTGCATTGCCTTTGGCCAGAGTGAACAGGACAACTGCCGCTGCAAACAAAAGCCTGGTTCCGTTGTCGCGAGATGAGGCGAGGTTAGATCCGTTCCGGACTTGGCTCACTTCTGGTATCATCGGTTTTGCACGATGTAGTCGTACTCTGTTTGGACCTTGATTGACTTCTGTTTGGCTGAGGCTGTTGGGTGCCACCATTCGCAAGATCTTCGGGTCACAGTGGTACTACGGACAGGCCCAAACTCGGACTTGATCGTGCCCTGCATTTGGCTGGCTTGTTTGACCTGACAGGTCATTGCCATTGATGCGGATGCAAGAGCCCTGGTAAGATTCGTGAGGCATCGATGAGAGTTGGAGCGAGCTCGAGGTGGCATCTGGTGAAAGGGCTTATCATGTGGCCTATGAGGACTTTCGCATGCCGGTGCATAGATGCTGGGCAGTGCAGATCATAAAGAATGAACACAAACTCTCCACAGCTGCAAGTCACGACACAATTTCAGTTCCTGACGTTCACACAACTCGAAACCAAGTCCCTGTCCGTGAGGGTTCCCTGAGGCAGGCTCCAGCACGATGCAAGGGCTCCATCTCGGCACCCTGACTTTCTTCCATCATAGCAGCATAAGAAGACGCTGAGGGAGCTAGGAAGACCAGCAGGAACCTTGCCATGGCTGGCACACATCTTGGACCTGATGGGCGAGGGGAAGCGGGTGAGAGCCTTCGGAGCTCGCAGGACGGAGACGAAGAGCACCTCAGCTCTGTCGAAGTCAAGCACTTCCTGGCCGGCCAACCTTTGCCTCATCTCGGTGTCTCATCTCGGTGTCTCAGCATGCCCAGGCAGCAGCCGCGCGCTCCGCTCGACCTTCGGAGGCTGGTCGCTCCACGCGGCCCTCAGCAGCAGGCGGGCGCGCGGAGCTTCGGACGGAGCTTCGGACGCAGTCTTTGCTCTGCCGGTCGAAAGAGGCACCCCGCGGCCCAGCTTGGCTCCGATGCCCTCGGTGAGACCGTCACGAGGCTGGTGAGGCATTCTGTAGCAGCCTTCAGCTGCTCCAGCGCAGGTCCGGCACGTCCTGCTCCGAAGCCAAGTTGGGGAAGAAGCCTCGGAGAGGCCGGGGCAACCAAAACTGAAACCTAAACGCCCGGACTGTGTCGGTTTTGGAGGTGAACAGCTTCTTGGCGAGTTTATTTTTTCAAACAATGGACTCATGCCTAGGAGATCGATCGCAGCCTTAAGAACGTCTCAGAACGTACTCTGGCCAGTGCCGGTCAGTGGTCGTCGAGTCATGTCGAAAACCGATTGATTCTCTACCTTCACGTGGTCTCAAACAATGCCTGTCATAAGTTCAAGTTGCGTCGTGTGTGACATAGCACAACTTGAATTTTTTCGTGTGTGGTTCAGCAAGTTGGAATGAGACTGCTGTCATTTGCGCCGATTGTCCAGGTCGCTGTCATCTCGAGGTTTGTGTTTCGGTGCACGTTCGGTTCGCGATGCCGTCTCTGAAAGGAACTTTTCCACAGAACGTTGCACGGGTGCTCTGCTGTTTTCCGGCAACCACACTGGCAACGCGGAACTGGCCGTGAATCGCGGCATGTCGGCGTAAGCAGCTGGCAGCTCAGCAAGAGCACTTTACAAGGGACGCAGAAGCCATGCAAGGAGCGGCCGACAGGACAGGATACAGTAAGAGTCGAAGGTAGCGTAAGAAACAGCACTACTGGTCCTAGTCTAGACATGCGGACCCGAGTGTTTTCACCTGTTGCAGGTCAAGTTCGCCTCTGTGGGCCCAGCCCTCGCAGCAGTTGCGATGGGCTTGGTCATGGCCGGTCGCCTACAGAGTTTTCTCATCATCCGTCGAGGAACATGCTCCGCAAAAGTTTCTCGATTCCTGAGTCGAATGCAGTGGAAATGGCAGTGGGCAAGTCTGAACCAAGCATCATGCCTTTCTTTGCTGCTTTGCCTCAGGTACTCGGCTCCATGTGCCTGACCTGTTTGGCAAGTGCGATGCTCGGCACTTGCTGCCATTGGGACGGAGGGGGCGCGGGATGGAGCTCACAGGTAGCCTTTACCGTGCCGGAGACGGTGACGTCGTTTCCGAGCTCAGGCTCAGTTCCTGTTGCTTGGACTTGCCCGATTCATGGAATAAAAAGAGCAGGCCAGACAGTCTTGGCACACATTTACCTCCTTGGGTGCACTTCTCAGACTGGTGAAAGTGCTGCCTCCTCTTCCGTTTGCGCAGCATTTCCGAGGCACAAGCCGCCCCACCGGAGGTTGCCGGAAGTTCGTTGCAGAGATCTGTGGAAGTCTGCAGCAGCGATAGAGGTGCCGGCTGTGTCGGCTCATTTGCCCCTGCCCTCGGTGGAGGCTTGGGGGTTGAGGCGTGAGTCTGGTAAGGGAAGGCATGGCAAATAATTGGAGTGATCATGCAGTCTGAAAGTAGAGGCCACCCTTTTCCCCAGTGATCTGCAGGATGTAGTGGAGCTCGCTCCACCCAAGGAGCCTCGTGTTCCGATCCCCCCGGCCAGGGCCTTGGAACACGCGAGCGATCACGATCGTCCCTGCGATCATGTGGATGCCAAGGAGCGAGAGACAGCGAGCGAGATCGTGACAGATGACGTTGAGATCTTCGTGGACGTGCCAAGCCAGGCCGGGCCTAGCCACAGGCCTCAGGTGCAAAATTTGTTCGGGTACCTCAGAGTCACTGACACTAGCTCCACTTGGAAGGTCGGTAGTCACTCATTGGCTGCCGAAACAGCTGCATCTGCGAAGTTTGTGTGGGGGTTTTCTGCACGGCCGGTGCCAGGCAGACGACACCACGAGCGCGTTGCACACGAGCTTGCTAAACGAGGCAAGCTACGCTGAGCATCTGGAGCCGGCAGGAGGACTGCCATGGGATGCCCCAGATGCCCCAACGTGTGAGATCAACGATGTCAAAGGAGGTGCAGAGGCTGAGTCGGTCGCGGTGCAGACGGCAGATGACGAGCTAGCTGCTGCTGCTGCCGCGCTCGTTGAGGCGCTGGCCTGGGGACACTGGCGATTCTTCGCTTTGGTCTGGGCGAAGCGATGCAGTTTCTGCATGTGGCAGGCTTCCGGTTTGGTCGTGCGCGTGGCTGGGCGCGCGTTTGTCCGCATGCTGGAGGAGGCCGAGATGTGCAACCCTAACAGTCACCGACCTTGGATTGGTGCGGAAAGCGTCGCATTTTCAAGGCCTGGCATTCTCTTCTTGGCGGTGTGTCTGCCACACTCTGCAGTGCCGTGGGAGTTTCAGGCTGGCTGGATGCAGCGTGTGTTCATTCAGGAATGGATGCCCCCTCATCACATTCTCGTTGTTGCCGTGAGCGGTGTGCTGTCTGGTTGGACTACTCTTTACACTGCAAGGAAGCAGGGCGATGTGAAGGTAGGCAAATGTAAGCAACCGGATGTTACGGTGGTCGACAGGCAGTGGCCCATACGGCACAGATTAAGCAGCAGGATTTCAGTTCACGATGAGTGGTTGATTTTCATCTCAGCCCGAGAAAGGCATCTGCGTTAAAAAACGAAAGCAGGCTTCCCTGAGACGTGGCAGGTTCGCAGTCCACGGAAGCTGAGCCGCTGGGAGCCAACGACGAGGCCGCAGAATGTTCCGAAAAGTTCTGGTGTGGATTTGGGTGGCGCATTGGAGAGGCCGGCAGTGCAGGCCTGGAGTCGCTGATGACGTCGGCATTGGTGGCCTGTGCTGGTGCCAGGGCCTTGAAGGGAGCGAACCTCACTGCCAGCGTTTCTAAGTGGCAGCGGCACGGAGGTCATGACCATCTTGGTCAGCATCCGCCCGGCGGAGGTGATGCTGAGGATGTTTGTTTGCCAGCGGGAAGCGGCATTTGTTCAGGATGTCCCGACACCGCTGCACACGATCCCACGTCCAGAGGCTTCGCAATTTGTATGGTGGTTGCAGCAGCCAGCAGAAGAGTCGGCAACGTTTTCCGAAAGCCAGGCTAGCTGGCCCGGGCAAGTTACAGCTTCTCCCATGAGGCATGAGGGGGGCCTGCAGTTCCGCATCGAGGCATGGCGTGGATGCAAGGCCCTTTCTCGGCAAGCCCAGTCCGGCTCCTCACTTTCCGTCGCCGCATGCGCTGCCACCGACTGCGCTTCTGCATCATCAGGCTGTGGGAAAGGGTGTTAGGAGCGGGAGACTCATCGACTAGCCTGGCCGTCACAGGCAACTCGACAGTCGCTGCAGGCAGGGTGCCCAGATGCTCGCACACCGCGAGAAGCTTGCATCAACCAGGTGGAGTAGCCGGAGTGGCGAGACCTGTGCCGAGAGAGAAGTTTGCATCACATCTTCCACAAGAACAACGACTGTTATGGGGTTGACACATCCCCGAAATACATGACTTCAACTACTCCTGGGCAGAGTTGCAAGATCGCTCGATACCCTTCGAGCACCACGTGCGGCAATGACAAGCAAGGGGTTTGCTCACTTTTTTATAGAGCGGCAAACCGGACGTACGGAGGCGTACATGGCATCTAAATCGAGTACAATGGCAAACACTTGGGCCAAATGGGATTGTCTTTTTCCCCAGACAGCTTTAGCCGGCTTTAGCCATTAGGGGTTCCAGCTAAATAAGGGCCCGTGCTGTGTCCACCGCCGCCGCAGGGGGTGCAGTCGGCAGGTGCAGCGGCATGCAGTCGGCATGCAGGAGGGGCGTGCCGTGTCCGCCGCCGAAGCGGGTGCAGCAGCATGCAGTCGGCATGCAGGTGGCATGCAGGTGTGTCCACCGCCGCTTGGGGGAGTTTTGGGGACTGATTTGCGGCTTGAAAGCTAACCAATGCCAGCAACAAGTGCACACGCCGGGTGTAAAAAACCGCTGGACCCACCCAAATGACCACAGAAAAAAGCAAGAAACATTAGTTGATTTTTTCTGTGCTTGGGGGACTGATTTCCGGCTTGAAAGCTAGTCAACGCCAGCAAGAAGAGCACACGCCGGGTCCAAAAACGCTCCTGGACCCGCCAAATGCCAAAGAAAAATCACCAAATTTAGTTGATTTTTGTTGGGCGAGTTTTGGGGACTGATTTACGGCTTACAAGCTAGACAATGCCAGCAACAAGTGCGCACGCCGGGTCCAAAAAACGCTCCTGGACCTGCCCAAATGGCCACAGAAAAATCAAGCAAATTTAGCGGGTTTTTCACACGAGTTTTGGCGACTGATTCCGACTTGAAAGCTAGCCAGCGCCAGCCAGAAGTGCGAAACTTCAACCAAATTTTCAAATTTAGTTGATTGTTTTGCGCGAGTTTTGGGGATTGATTGCCGGCTTGGAAGCTAGCCAAGGATGACCTGGGTGGTGGCGGTTCGCGCACTGCGATGAGCACTCGAATGACTCAATGGGCTCCTCGAGATTGAGAATGTCATCGTTGGAATTGTCGGCGCTCCAGACCTGTCCGAAGGAGTGCATGATTGAGATATATTGAGATTGGCTGGTATTGCTCGTCAAGGCCGAGTGCAGGTTCCTCCGTACCAACGGTAGCTGGAACGTGGAATGGAAGAGCCTCCCCGGTGCCAAGGATGATGTCATGGATGGGTGTATGATGAGTGCCTTGCGGAAGTCACTGCAAGGACTTTGCAAGGAGTCCTTGAGGAGAATGGCAAGCAGAATGTCGCATCCATCGCATACAGTCGAGAAGTGACCGTCGCGAGGAGGACATGGGTGTCAATCAGCGCCTCAAGCTTGACAACTTTGTTAATCGTCGGTTTAGTGACCATGTCAGCCATATCAGCACCCAGATGGGGAGTGGTCGTCAGCATGAATTGGCAGCATGGTCATCATCCGAATGCCCCAAAATGACGTCGTGTCGTCTGCTTGGACGAAATCGTGGAGTGGTGTCACATCTCCACATTGCGACCAGCTGGCCTGATCGAGTGCCGCCTGATGAGCCACAAATCGCGAATGTCGCATGGTAGCGGACTTGGGCGTGAGAGGAAATGGTGTGAGATCAAACTGTTCCCGCCACCACTGTACGACGGTGAGCTGGAGAAATGCGAAGATGGGTCATGACAACTGAAGCGGTATGTTGGATCGTACAAACCCTGTGCCCTTTGCGAAGCGAATGATGGATGATGCCAAAGGTTCCCAGAGAGTTGGCGCTGATGATTTGAGTGGAGTCCTTTACGTGCAGCAGATTGGAGCACCAAATTTCCAAGCGTTATCGTTCTCCTCACGACTATACGTGTGCACGCTGGCACAGATCACTGACGGTGCCGCTTGGTCGATTGATCGACCTGCTGTCAGATTGAAGGAAGATTGCGCAGACAGCTTACAGTGCCTGAACGAGCGAGAGCCACGAGCCTCCTGAATGAGATCCTTTCGTTCAAGCTGAAAAGTGATCAACCGGAGTGTGGTCTGAGTGGTATCATCATCTTGAAGAATCGTCGGAGCTGGCATGTGGAATGGAAGAGCTTCCCCGGTGCCAAGGAGGTGTCATGGATGGGTGTACGATGAGTGTCTTGCGGAAGTCACTGCAGTGGCACTGCAAGGACTTTGCAAGTAGTCCTTGAGGAGAATGGCAAGCAGAATGTCGCGTCCATCGCATACAGTGACCGTCGCGAGGAGGACATGGGTGTCAATCAGCGCCTCAAGCTTGACAACTTTGTTAATCGTCGGTTTAGTGACCATGTCAGCCATATCAGCACCCAGATGGGGAGTGGTTGTCAGCATGAATTGGCAGCATGGTCATCATCTGAATGCCCCAAAATGACGTCGTGTCGTCTGCTTGGACGAAATAGTGCAGTGGGACCGCAACGCCACGAGGAGCTGGCCTGATCGAGTGCCGCTTGATGAGCCACAAATCGTGAATTTCGCATGGTAGCGGACTTGGGAGTGGGAGGAACTGGTGGTGTAATCAAACTGTTTCCACCACCGCTGTACCACACTGAGCTGATGTTGGATTGTACAAACCCGTTGCGAAGCGAATGAGGGATGATGTCGAAGGTTCCCAGAGAGTTGGCGCTGATGATTTGAGTGGAGCCCTTTATGTGCAGCAGATTGGAGCACCAAATTTCCAAGTGTTATCGCTCTCCTCACGACTATACGTGTACACGCTGGCACAGATCACTGACGGTGCCGCTTGGTCGATTGATCGAAACGAGGACACAGAACGGCTGTGAGACTTGGGGAATATTGCGCAGACAGTTTGCAGTGCCTGAACGAGCGAGAGCCACGAGTCTCCTGAATGAGATCGTTTCGTTCAAGCTGAGAAATGATCAACAATCGTCATAAGGGGACTGGCAGGCCGTTGGACAATGACATCCTGATCACACTGTTAATGCAGAAAACGACTGGTTCAATGAGTTGTTTGACCGATGTGTTGCCGGAGACGGAGCAACAGCTTGATGCATTGGGGGCTTGCTGTGCGTGTCGGATTTGCATGACAGCCCGTTTGATTATCTTCAACAGATTGGCACCTTGATTGCTGCGGGTTATGGTTGCGCGCATGACACGTGGGAAGTGAATGAGCCGCAGTTGAAATTGATCCGGCGCGTCCAGACAGGGCGAGGAAACGCTGGATCCTCGAATCGAAGCCTCCGAGGTTTTGCCAGCACAAACGTCCCAACTGACTGACGAAAAGGTGACGTACAAACTGTGCGATAAGGGGTCGACTGTCACTGTCAAGGATAGGAATTTCTTGACTTTGGCAAGCACCCGGCCCAGTGACCCGAAAGAACGAACATACATACATACATACATACATACATGTATACATAAATACATACAGAGACTATAGATAGATAGATAGATAGACAGATAGACAAAAAGATCCAGAAGCCACAATTGAGGCATGCGAAGAAAGTGAGCCCAGACAGTGCCTTTCGCCCGATTGACAAGCCTGAGCCGAGACCTTTGACAACCATGTATGTCCGAAGCCATGAACGTTTCTGATGCTTCCCCAGCTATTTGGGGTCTTCGCCGGTCTAATCTCGACCTTAGAGCCGGGCAGTTCGCTGACTCCAAGATCAGGTTGTGGAGAAGAAAGCTGTTGAGCTAGGCAGTTAGGGCTCCTATTGGCACTGAAGGCATGTAACACTCCCGCTCGCGCAAAGACCACCCTGGATCAAGTGAAAGTGGAGGCCTGGCATCGTGCGTCTTGAAACAACGGAGCGAGAGCGAGAGATTGCTGGTTAGTTTCTATGGCAGATTCCATCCACGCCGGCACCAGAGCATCCGGCAGCAGCCAGGATCGACACATGTGCAGTCCTATATCCTGTTCCCAGACTCGGTGCTGTGTCTAGGATGTCTCTGATGTCCCGCTTGGGGCGCACCCCGGCACCAGCCTCGCCGTTTTTTGCCTCGCACGAAACTCTAAGCTTTTGGTGTAGCTCTCGATATGGCTAAGGCAACGGCTGCTGCAGTGCCACCAGGTGCTTCCGGGATGCACTGGGCGCAGACAGCACGGAGTTTCGAGCACAGGGGACGCCATCCAGCGCCGTCCACCGCCACCTCCCCCTGTGAGCTTGACCGTAGCGCCCTTACTTCGCCTTCCGTGGTTGAAGTGTGTGACAGTCCACGGCCTAGGTCGAGCCAGCACCCCAGCAGATGCCGCCGCAAGCTGAGAGCCGTGTTTGTAAGGAGTGACCTGGTGGTGAGCTAATTTGGCTGCTCCAGGACGGCATTCGGTAGAGCCTCCATCTGATTAAGCATGCATTCATTCCGGGTAGTCACATGTGCCGAAAAGTCTTTTTCGGCGGTGGCCCAAGATTGTCGAACGCCTGACGTGTCAAAGTCAAGTTTGGCAAGCTGTTGCTGCAAAGCCGAAATCGAGTTACGTTCAAACGCAGGAAGGCCTTGAGAGGTTGTTCGTGAGTCCCTTCTTGGGCTTCCGTCCCCAATCTCCCGATGTTCGCTTGACAGCCGCCAAGCCACGCTTTCACGCAGGTGTTTTCTTGTCGTAGCGAATTCGGTGGGAAAAAGACGAACGACTGAATGACCCCTCCCACAGCCCACTCATGCTTGTGCTACAAGGTTGAGAAGCCACGCCAAGACTACACCGCAGCCGCAGCCTGCTCCTTTATCCAAGGAGATGCGAGACACGTCATTTGTGATTGGGTTTGAATGTTTCTTGTCTCCTCATGCGATCGTGTGCAAGACATCAGTCCTTCTTTCCGCATAAGCGACTTGTGCTTCGTGTGATTGCCTGAACCTCAGGAGGACGCTTGCGCCCGCTGTGGGTCAGCGCTTCCTGCAGACGACAACTTCTGTCGGCACTGCGGGCAGCAGAGGGGCAAGAGGTCTTGTCAGGCTTGGGTTCTTGTTTGTCTGTGATTCCCCTCGAACGGTGTGCAAGCCTTGAGAAGGTTCCGGCCTCAATGCCTGCAAGTGGTCCCGTTGCCCCGGTGCGGAGCTGAGGGTTCGTTGCCGGCTTGAGCAGTTTTCTGCAGGGGCGTCGCTCCATGCGTATTTGGAGGGTCTTGTTTTGAGAGATTCTTGAAGACCCGTGTGTCTGCGTCGAAGTTCGAGTCTTCAGATCCCTGAGTCACCAAGGCTGGCCGAGCAAAGTCCAAGCAGGCGGACAAATCGCGATTTCGCCACACGAAGGCACTGAGCAAGCTGAAGGCGGGACTCGAGGCTGCTAGGATCTGCAGTGTATGCCGCAAAGGGGGCGTGTCGACATGCCAGGAGCTGGGTTATGACGATAGCGAGGAAGTTCGAGACGCTCCTAGGCTGCCAGTGGCAAGTCACACGATCAGACGTAGCATGGAGTCGCGCCTGTTGCAGAAGCAGTGTGTAGTGAGGTCTTGACGAAGTGTAATGGAGATCTGAATGCTGCTTTGAGAGAGATCACCGGTCCCGGCACCCGTGCCTAGCAGCATGTCCAGCACGTTGAACATCGACGACCATCAGTGCAGCAGCAGTGTTGCTCAGCGAGGAATCAGCTCACATTGCAAGTCCTGAGAATCCCTTAACTCGTGTCGTGCAATTCGATGCACTGCAAACTTTAAGCCATGGGCAAAGAGTTCGGGCGATCAGTGTAGTGACCGTAGTGCCGTAGTGGCTGTAGTGCATAAAGTCACCCCGGTAATCGTCTCCAACTCCGAGCCCGCAAATTAGCTCGGTCCAGGAGGCCGGGCTAGGCCTGGAACGAGCCGCGTAGCGAATTAGTTTGGGCCCTTGTTGGCCGTTTGGACTTCCGCTCGCGTTTGATGGGCTGCAAGCATGACAGTGTCTCATCGCAGATGCAGCACTTGATTGAAGGGATTGGGCTTGCAACTTCCACGTCCCGCAGACGTTTGCGTGTAGGCTCCGCAAAACAGGACCCCCTCCAACTCCAACCCTTTACCTGCCGAAGCCCAGCATTCTCACTCACAATTTTCGACCTCAGCTGCCGCTGAGACTTGGTGTCTCAAGGATCGCAAAACCTGCGGAATCTGAACGTCTCGCACTCGCGCCATGGCAGCCGAAGTGGCGCGCGTTATGCAGGAAGCCGCGCAGATGGTGGACGAAGCTTGGAGGGAGCTCTCAGGCTCAGGCTCGCCGCATCTCTCGGTGGCCCGAGCTGCTCTTCCGTGTTGCAGAGGTGCGGCAGGGGCAGAGGAAGGAGAGTCCCAAAAGTCGCCCTCCTTTCGAGCTCGCGCCCGAGGGAAGGTTTCTCCACATGCGCAATTCGCTTGCGCGAAGCCTTTCCTGCAGGAAAGCCTGCGGACGACAAAGAGAAAGCCGGGGTGCCCAGAAGTTCTGACTGCAGAGAACCGAAGCCCGAAGCAGTTGCTCAGGGGGAAATGGAACGGCCGGGTCTCTGACTTGACCATGAAGGAGTACCGCGACATGAAGCCGCTCAGCTGCAGTTATCCTTGTCCTGCGAAGTTGCCTAAGCCGGCCAAGCCAGTGCTTGCCAAGGTGGGGCATGGATGCAGTGGCCTCAGCTTCACCAGCTCAAGCTCGTTTAGAGACGCCGACACCGACAGGCCGGCTACAGGGCAGCTCTGCGCGTAGGGCACCGGCCTCAGTCGTCCACGCCAGTCTCGACGGATCATTCGTAAAATCCTGCACCGGCCGAGGCCAAGGTGGAGCATGCGTGGATCTCTCTCGAAGCCGCCTAGGGCAAACTCGGACGTTCGATGCCGAGATGCCAAGCAGCAAGTTCTCATGACGTGTGCAGCCTTTGCATACCAGGGCATGCTACCTAAAGACCCCGCGAAAGCCTACGACGCGCACGGGCCTTGAGCTTCATTTCCGTAGCTTTAGGAGCACGACATGCTTGTCAGTTGCTACAACACGGCGCCCAAATTCACCATCGGCAAGTCGCTTATCGGCGTCCAAAGCCTCAGAGCTTCTGGAGCTGCTGTGATCCACCGCGAGAGATCGGCCGGAGCCGTGACGAGGCCGCTGACCCCTTGGCGAACAACCCGGGTCCGCAGTATCTCGTCCCAAGCACGATGCCGGGCAGCCGAGACCCTTCGTGGTGGCCACATCAGGTCCTAAGTTTTGTTGGCCCCAGAGGAATCCATCTGGTCACCCGACCATATGGAAGAACTCAGGAGTGCTTCAGAGAGCTCTATGCTTGCCAACTGTCGTCCTTGGCACTACTTGGCATGCGAGGAGCAAAGTTTGGCTCCGAGACGCTCCAAGTGAACGATGAGGACGTGACATCAGACCTTGCGGATACTCAAAACCTACACTGCGTGTTCATAAGCCCCGCGCATCTCACGGTTCAAGCAGCCAGATCCGTCGCACCTCAGTCCGATTGAGTCAGCCCCTTCCACCCTCCTTTCCGGTCAGAGTGTAGCAACTCCAACTATGTAAGCCCAAACAAAATCTGTCCAAGAAAGTGCCCCCAAGTGAGGGCGGAGGCGGGTGTGGTAGTACCAAGCCCTCCCTCCCTTGCCTTGCTTTTGGCGGCGATGGCGACAGGCGTCGGACCCGCGGCTTCAAGCTTTTAGTGCACTAGCCACATCACTTTAGAACTCATGAACCTCTGGAAGCTCGGCACGCATGGTTGCAAGCGTGAGGCATCTGCCTGTACGTGGGTGTGTAGAGAGTTGTGCAGGCGGTGCATAGGGAGGCATGCAGGTGCATGCGTTTATTCTGCACAGCAGTTTCGGGCACTCGCCAAGGATCCTTTCATGACGTGGATGCTTTCTCAGTCCCTGCTCGTGCTGGCAGGCCGCGGGCTTGTTTAGGTGCTTTTCCTGAGGTCGCGGTGTATGTTGGGCCTGCTAGTGAGGACTTGCGAAAGAGTTGGACGGCTTCAACCCGGAGAAGGTCTGCTGCAACACTGAGAGCGTCGACTACTTGCTGCATTGTGCCTAGCATAGCACTAGGACGGTCGGAGCCTGAAGTTGTTCTAGCAGGACTGCAGCGATTTTCTGCAGAGGTGCGAATGCATCTGCGATCGCACCCACCACGAGTCACATACACGTGACGAGTTTGGCCACGCGGGAGATTCACAGTTACGCTCCTGGGATGCACTGTTGCTTAAAGGCTCGAGTCTTGCAAGCAGAAGTTGTGGAGCCATCTTCAAATGTCAGGCAGTGTTTTCAGCAGCTATCAATGCAGCGCATGCAAAAACGTTTGGCAACAGCTTCCAGCTGGCTACAAGCAGCTTCGGATTGGGATCCGATCTGAAGCTGCTTTGGAGGGCTGGAAATGTCGCCACCATATTGGAAGCATTGAAGGCCGCTCGGCGTTCAGGTCGCGTGCAGGGCCCACGGCGCAGTCGAGCGGAGCGAACCAAGGTTGTTCCTGGGGCCAGCTGGATTGCGTACCTCGATGCCGATGCAATTCTTGTTGACTTTAGCAAGGATGCACTGGCTGATGTGGTGCGAGCGCACTCGACGAAGGAAACACGCTTGATGGTGAGTCGTGGGGAGCTCATCGGACCAGGGACCTCAAGCATGTTCAACTCGGGCTTCTTGCTGGTCAGACAGCATCCGTGGGCCTACGACTTCGTCCAGCTGTGGCTGTCACAACTTTCTTCGTCCAACGCCAACGACCAAGAAGTGTTGGAGCAGCTTTACCGGCAAGGTGCCCCGAAAGTCGTGCCGAAAAGACAGCCCAAACCATGCAACACATCCCAAGTCATGACTTCGTGTGGCTGCCATTTACATAGAAGCAAGTGAAAGCAGCATCCCCTGGCCGTTCCGAGACGCCCTGGGCTGCCGGCGGCACATGGCCATTCTCCCCATGGGCCTGGTCTACAGCGAGATCGGGAACCCCGTCTCTGGGCCACCTGACCAGCAGCATGTGGTCCACCTGGCGGGAATCCCCGACGAGGTTCGGATGGGTGTCTTCTCGGCCTTCTGGAAAGATCTTTGTGGGATCAACCCATCGATGGCCTTGCCGGGCAGCACCCGGACTGAGCACTAGCCGTCCTCCGCGCCCTTCCACTCTCCACGCATAGAGCCTCCAAGGCCTCGGGCTCCGGCAAGCCTACCTCGAGGAGATGGCATCCTTCGTGAGCCAAGGACAGGGAGCTCTGTCTGCGGTCTTCTCAGACTCCAAGTTGGGCTCATGTCTGACATCGCTGATGTTGACAGCAATCCCACGCAGACGAACAGGCCGTTTCAAAAAACTCTATACAGGATCCGGACGCTTGGCACCACACAACATACTGTAGAAAGAGGGTTGGAACTGCATTAAAGCTTGATTCGATCACTGGCGGGGATTGGATCAGCTTCAAGCGGCCACCCGACTGACACGATTCAGGGTTTAGGGTTTTGGGTTTTTAGGGTTTAGGGTTTAGGGCTCAAGGAAAATCACGAATCCTCATTCAGGTAACTGAGCTGGTGTTGTCCTCAGGGATGTGGTGTGCCATCCGATACTGTTCCTTCAGTTTTTGTGACGGCCACGGTTGCAGCGCGCAATCTTGCTTGCCGTGTGCTCTTGCATCGAACTTGAAGTTCAAAGCAAGCACCTGGCAAGGAGATGCCCCAGCAGAAGCGGTGCTGCTCGGCTGACTTAGTACAGTATATGTCAGCACATGATGTGCATATATGTATACCTGTCGTAAATGAAAACGAGCTGATTAAAGGTTTCTTCATTCGACAAAGTTTGTGTGGATGAAGTCACACGGGAAGCGAGTGCTTTCGATGAATCGTGATTTCCCGAGCGTCAGGCAGTGTCTGCATATGTGTACCTTCCGTGTTTATGTACGATGTACTTTGTGGGACAGCAAAGGAGCATCACTGCTGGCAGAGCTAGAGTTTGTTTAAATTTGTACTTTCCGTTGTTTCCCGATCCCTACCCCTGCAACAAGCTGACACTCGCGAGTGCAGAACCGTCCAAGCTCAACGAATCAAGCAAGGGTCGTGGGAAGTTGCAAGGGGGCAGTGCTGACCTGATGTGAGGTGTCAGTCGCCTACGAGCATGCGACAATGCTTGGAGGCTTGAAGAATGCCGACCTTCGCATGGTAGGCTTGTCGGCTTGGTCCTTTGTTCTCGAGCTCCTGTAGGCTGCGGAGCGCTTGGCGTACGGGCTTCATCTGGATGGCCGACAGCAGGAAGCTGCCTCTCGGGCTTGGAAGGCAAGGGCAGGGTAGAGATCTGTGAAGCGCTCGAGTGCTTGAGGTCCACTGGGCTGCTGGGGCTCTGTCGGGACGCGAGCAGCACCTTGGCACCTTGGATGAGGACACGCTGGCCAGCCGGAGCACCCTTGCCACAGCTGCCTGGCGTGCAAGGGCAAGAGATTTTCGTTCCCGGCTGTGTTTCCATCATCTGCTGAGATGGTCCGTTGTGGTCCGTAAATCCTAGCTCCCAGATGCAGCAGACCACAAGATTGTAGGAGCCAGGCTAGGCGAGGTGTGTGGTGTCGTAGAGCAGTATTTCTTGACCACGCATTACCACGCTTCTGAGTGTCAGGAAGGTTGTCAGAGACCGAACACCTTTGTCGAACTTCGCTATCCTTTTCTTTAGAGTAACGGTTTTGGAGGAAGTGTTCAGGCTTGCTATGCTGTCTGATCCAAGGTCATGGAGGCTGCCGGCCGCAAGGAGGCTGATGTGCCTAGCGGCCTAGCGTAGCGGAGTGGCTCCTAATGGCTGCCGGCCGATGACCCGAGTCATTGCAGGAGGCGTTGGCCTTCTCTATGGCGGCCTGGGAGGGTCGCAAGGTCACCTACGGGCCAAATCACCGTGCCACGATGCTGAGCACTGCTAGGCAGGGCGCCGGAGAAGGAACACCAATCGTTTTTATATTCCTCGTGCCGCCCAGACATGCAAGGCTTGGATCACAGATGCTGGCGCACAGCAGGCCGGTTCAGATGGTGCGCCCCGGCAACTCCGATGTTGATAGCAGTTGAGCTTGCAAAGGCTGGAGGAGGCTACCGTGTTCCTCCAGGCAGCACAGCAGGCCGACATCTTGGGACCACAGCACTCGAGCAGCATCTCCACAGCTGCTGCTCTGGCACTGGCTTACGCCAAGCAAAGTCGCTACACGGAAGCGCTTGCACTTTATCGGCGCACCGCCCGTGCGGCTGCGGAAGACCTTGGCAAACATCATGCGACGACCTTGGATTTGCGGCTGGGGGTGGCGGACACCCTGCGGCAGATGGGTCAGCATGACGAAGCAGCCACCACAGGTGCACGCCTTGTGAGGACACAGCGCAGGAAGCTGAAGACGCAACCCTCACGCAGTGACCAGTTGCGTCTGGCACGTGCCCTTGAGCTGGTTGCGGGCACCCGGGTTGAAAAGCTTCCGAAGCGTCTGAAGCTCATAGAAGAGGCAGCCGAGGCAGGGACGGACTGATGCACGATTTCCGCATCATGTGGGATGAGGTTTAGGGTTTAGGGGGTTAAGGGTTTTGGGTTCAGGGTTTAATGAGGCTGGTTGACACTTTCGCCAGGTCTATGCCAAGTTCGGCATCATGTCCTCCCGCATCTCGGTCCTGCGCTCCGGCGCTGACATGCTACAGGCCAACGGGCGCAGCTCGGAGGCGGAGAGCTGGTTCCGACGAGCCCTGGCGGATGCTGAAGGCATTCCCAGCGACACGGAGAAAGGCCTTGCCTCTGCAGTGGCGTCGGCAGCCAACAATCTGGCCATGCTGCTTCGCAGTCGCGGAAAGGGTGCTGAGGCTGAGGGGCTGCTGCGGCGTGCTGCGCAAGGCTTTGCAAAGGAACATCAAGCTGCGGAGCTGAGGCCAGGCCGGCCCGGGCTTCGTTTCTGTGAAACCACCAACGTCCTGACAGGGCATTGGGGAACCTTGCAGACACTCTGAGAGCCAATGGTCGCCTGAGCGAAGCCTTCAACATCTCCCAGCGGGTGATGCAGAGCCACGAGCTCCTGGAAAGCGAAGACGATGCCCCAAGCTGAGCTTAAAAGGTGCCGTTGCATCAGATGTTGCATCCACGCACCCTTACCATACGAATTGGAATGCGGGAGGCTCCTCTCGCCTGAGGTGTTGACAGCCAAAAGCAATCATGCTCTCTTGCTCTATGCCCTGGGGAAGCGCACCGAATCGGCGGCGCTCTACAGCGACGTGCTGCAACAAGCTGTGCCTGGGCTCAAACTGCCTGAGCTTCGGTGGGATCTTGATCACGAGCGGCAGCCTTGTACACCTAAGGAGCGTGTGTTCGGGGCCTACTCGAGCCAGGTTGGTTGGCCCTGGAGATACTTGAATTCCGTGCAGCTGTTATTTGCCTCTAGAGCACACTGCCACATCGAGACTGGAACTCAGCAAGGCTTCGAGGGGAGCAGGTTTCGGATTTGTTCCGGGATTTTCGACGAGAGCCAGGTGCTCAACCTCAACCCCTTCGTTGCAGCTTCAGCATCAGCAACTGATGTGAAACAGGAGAGAAGAAGTAAGTCTAAGCGCTTTGACGTGCTGGTCAGGCTGTTGCTGCACGTGCGGACCTGGAAGAGCTTCGTCGCAGAGAGGCGAGGTGGGGCACTCCTTGAAACTCACACCCAAAAAGAGCCAGTGCCTCATGCGGCATGTGCTTTGAAAATATTTGGCACTTGACACCAGCGTGGATGCCAGCATGTTGCGGTTCTGGTTTAGCTGCTTAGCTACATCTACGGGTCCGCTGCGGCAATTTGGCCTTGCTGCTTCATGCTATGCAACCATGAGTTCGAGCATGCAAGCCTGTATGCTGTTCGAAGACCTTTGCTTCAGTTGGTGCTTCTGGTGAAGGGTTTCGCTTTGCAGGCAGCAGAAAGCTCCGATCGAGATCGCCGGGAACTCGGGACAATGCTCGAAGAAAAGTGGCAAAGAGAATCATGCCCGGCTGTCGAGGAGCATCGCCTCGACCAGTGGAAACCAGCAGCAGACGCAATGCGGAATTGTGAGCAGACAAAGCCGAGTGTGCCTTGAAACTCGTGCCTTCTGGGTTCTGTAGCCCAAAGGGAGAGCTGGCCGAACTAGACCTCGCAGGACGGGCCAGCACCAGGGCAGTACGACCAGAACGCGCCAGACTCAAGCGACCAGATGCCCTCGGCCGACTCCCTTCACAACCATTTCCTGAGGCTTTCAAGCACAGTGGCCAGATCCGGAGGGCTCCGGTGTACACTGCGCAGGGCAGGGAGGTGGACAACGTGCGTCATAGCCGCTGCACGGTGCTGCCAGCATTTACACCTTTGCAGAAGAAAGCACCTGCGAGGCTTGGCGTGACCCTGTGGCCGCCCCGGGACCCGTGCCAGGAGAGTGCGCCATAAGGATCCCAGGGGCTGAGCACATGCGAGCAAATTGGGGGGTTCAACGTGCTCTTTTCGTGCAGGTACAATGTCGAAAGGGCATTGCGCAACGGGAAGATCACTCCCTTCAAGCCACTTTGATGCCTTCAGAGAAGAGCAGAAAAATCATCGTAAGTACCAGTGGATGGTGGGGCCGGCCGGCTGGCAGTGCCGCACTGCGACAGGTGGACCATGCAGGGCAAGACCGAGCCGCTCTCGCCACCTCGTGGTTCGTCTGCCATGCTTGATCTTGTCTTGCGGTTGTCGCCGATCTAAGGGTCCTTGTTTTTCGGATTGAACATAGACCTTAAGATGTGAAGGTATGTGTCCGCGAACATTCGCGATGGGCCACACAAGTCATGATCTGGCACAACCTCGACACTGGCTTCTCCATGTTTTTGCCGGTGTGGCAGGCGAGAGGGCCACGGTGAAGCCGGGGCCTGGCCACTACAAGTTACCCTCCATCGGCGAGAGGCCCAAGCATACTGTTCAAGAAGGCCTTTTGTTTGCCTCCTTGAGCCCGCAGGAATGCGTACCCCCACATTGAGAAGCCGCCTCTCTGGAAGTTCTTGCAAGAGCCACGGGGTCTGCTGCCAACCTAGAGTGCATTCGTTTCACCCAGAAACACCCTGCCTAAACGTTCCAGACCTCAGCATGGCAGCCAACATCATAAGCCCTCCCCCGAGTCCGGCGGTGTCCCTGCTTTCACCCTGTGCTTGCAAAGCAATCCGGGACAATCAGGGTGTGCCTTCAGCGTGCCTGTCACCGTCACTCCTTGCCAGTCTGACAGCAGTGTGCTTTTGGGCTGTGAGAAAAGTTTGCCGCGGTTTGCCTTCGGATCCATGGTAGCTGACTTTAAGCTCGCACCGTCTGGCTTCAGGTAGACCAAGTTAGTTAGGCAGAATCATGTCCGACTTGGGCTAGATGTAACCGCCGTATCCCCGCTACAGTTCAACACCAGTTCGCCATTATCCCGAGCCAACAAAGTATGTATCCAATGTAGGAAATTGCCTTGCATCACGGCAGCTACCTCTAGACCAGAAAGGACATGAGCAGGTAAATAGATTGTACTAGGTTCAGGGTTTAAAGGTGGTAGTATTGAATGCACCCCGTGAGAGCAACGACCACCGCGACATTCTGAAGGACTGGCTGCATGGGTTTATTGCTCAAAAGCACGTCGAAGTAGATCGATCCCGCGGCCCACGGTGACTGTCACAAGAGCTTCCGATGAAATTTCGACTAATTTCGTGCGCCCTCTTGTTGGCATACACCATTGGCAGTATCCTCCAGTATCGCAATGTGGACTTGTCGCAAGTGGAGCTGAGCAGAACCTTATTGGGCAACAACGCGACTCACCACCCGATCCTCGCGCATTGTGACGATAAGATTAAGTCCCCAAGGTTGGCGCCGCAGCGCAAGTAAACACGTCAACACGAGGCCTCCAGCTGCCCTTAGTGGCGGATGAAGCCATGGGCGGCCTTGTCGTATTTCCTGGCTTTGTGTGGGGCCGAGCACATCCTATGGTTGCAGAGGCCTCGGCTTTGCGAAAGATGGTTCAAGATTGCGTAGCATGACCTGTTTGGTAAGCCTCAGCTTCATTCAATGGAGCAAGACTCATGATTCGGAAATAGGCACGACTTCCAGCAATTGGCGCTGACGGATGCCAACTCCACCGTGTACCAGGCTTGGCAGACAAGGCCAGCCAGCAGTGAGAGTCGAGCAGGCATTGCTCAATCAGTTTGTCGAATGCTTTAGCCATCCAGACAGTGGGGATCTTGACTTCGTACGCTTCAACCAGGAGTCAGACAAGCACTTTGTATGCGAATCGGCTTCTTGCACTGGAGCAACTGGCAACGAGCAGTCTGCGATCGGAGGAGCTGAAAGACAGACGGCCACTCGAGTTCTATCTCTGCAAATTGCACGAAACGACCACTATTTCCCTGTTTCTGTTTGCGTTCTTTGCGATGGTTTTGCTTGATAGAAACAAAACCTCACACCCTGAGGCAGCTCAGAGCAAAGATTTTCCGACATCCGCAAGGGCTCTGCTGACCCTCGTAGTGGCTCCTGCCGAGGAACTTGTACTACACAGCTGCAGTGCAGATTGGCGCGCCGCCCAAGGACCGGCCGCACTGGGTCAATGGGTTTTCAGGCCGCTAGGTGGAGAAAAATGCACGCTCCCCCATAGACACTTCTAGTTCTGCTCCGGCCACGTCGAATCCTTCAACACTTCTGGTCGAACAATTTTCGAAAGACGCGTTTGTTTCGCATGGGGTGATCATATAGGACATGTGTCCTGTACTCGTTTAGCATGCACACAGTTTCTGCATGCACATGTGGGCTGCAAGCTCAAGACGTGGAATCCAGACCTTCATGGACTAAGCCTGCGGCCGTCGCGACAACCTCGTGAGATTTCGTCGTCCGTGGACATCCGGTGCCGGCAGAAAATGCAGAGGGCCAACGCCCGCAACCTGTCGACCCCAATAGGCCGACTAGGTCATCGCTTCGAGCTTGTGGGCCAAGGTCGCACATGGGATCCGCATTGCAATGTGTCGAACTAAGATAGGAGATCAAACTCGCAGACCACTTATCCAGGAGATGGTTATGAAGGGCCTAAGGAAGCTGAGACTGCAAGTGGAAAGTGTAGCGCAAAAGTGCTCAAAAGAGGCTGGTCTCTGTACCACGTAGAACAGTGTGTCCGGGACACCCGTGGATGATGGGGAGGAGTTGAGCAAGCAGCGAAAGGCTAGCATGAGTGTGCCGAGTCCAGGAGGTGCAGCTCATCCTGGACACAGGCAGGCAGAGAAGCCTTTGCCATGTATCCTGACTGCATTGCAGATGTCGTCAGGATCCTCGGACCTCTGGGTTTCCGACCGGGTTTACGACCCTGATGAATCTACGACATGGAGTTCGGAAGGGCAGCCCGTGAACATGACTTACGGCATCGGCTTTATGAGTGGTGTCTACGGGCTCGATCGGGTCTGTCTTGCAACAATGCCTCAGAGGACCTGCTGAAATGCCCTAAGCCATTAAGAGCTTCTCTGTGTGTTTCTGCACCCCTACAAACTCACGTGTAAACGAGGACCTGTATCAACGAGCAGCCCGTGATTTACGGCATGGAAACGCGAGACATTCCCAACAGAATCCATGGTGTCCTCGGGCTGGCCTTCATCGGACTTTCACATGTGCATCGCACATTCCTGCGGAATCTCAACGAGACCGGTGTTGGGCAAACTGTAGCATCATTCCGCTAACATGCCATGAAGTCCCTAGCTCGAACATGCCATAAAGTCCCTAGCAATCTGAGCCAAGTGCGTCGCAGGAGCTTTGCGGACCTCGCCTTCGCGTTTGCGCTGCACGGGGGTGACCAGAAATCGCTGTTCACAGTGGGCGACTACGATGAGGCCCGCGCAGTAATTCTTACAAGGCGCCTGCCTTCACTTCCCAGCATCAACCGCCTGACTGTATTCGCAGTAATTCCGCTCCGGATAAGATCGATTGTTCTGGATTCCGAGCCACATGCCTTCTTGCCGAAGGTCCTCGCTCGGGGCTTCCAGGTCACCGGCATCGACAAAGCTTCGGTGGTGCGTGCAAACGTTCTGAGCGTTTTCAGGCGCCAGGGCCGTCATGTCGAACTCTTGCACGCCAAGCATCGCCAAGCTGCTTCGTCAAAGCACTTGCTGCACTGTTTCGAGTTGTGGCCCTTCGCCAGGGTCCAAGGCGAAGCGGGACCCCAAGCAGGCTGGTGGCTCGTGAAAGCGCGCGTGAAGGTGGCATGCTGGGTTCTGCTTCCTGCACTTGTCTGTGGCTCAAAAGTCCCGTTCAGAGTCGTAAGTTTAGAGCTTTTACTGCCCAGGCAAAGTCTTCCGGGTTTCCGCTTGCAAAGTGTGTTTTTTGCATCGCCTCCTGCTCGCTGAAACCAGTTTTGTGTTGCGTCCTTCAGCGAGCGGCACCCTCATTCTATACCTCCCTCGAGCACTGCTTTACCGTGACCCGCGATCCGGGGCCTAGGCCTCATACGGGGGCCAGAAGAAAACTCTCTCCACAAATGCTCGCCCACAAGGAGAACGCTTTCCAGTCCTCTGTGTGTCGAGTCGATCTTACATTTTCGCTCGCCTTCTCTGTCGATGTGCGAAGCCGGTGCCTGCTTTGAGAAAGTCCGATTACAGAAGAATCATGTTCTTCTGTGTGCCCTGCGTTGGCTGCAGTTTCTTTCCATTAGCCGCGATCCCCAGCCCAGTGTTGCCTATCCTGGCGAGGGTTTTCTTTCTCCACAATTTAGTTTAGGGCTTTGCGGTTTAGGGCTTTAGGCAGGGTTTCAGGGTTTCAGGGTTCGAGGATGTTCGAGGGCTTGGAGGGTGGTTTAGGATGTGTTTAGGGTTCTGGGTTCAGCTTTGCGTCCGGGGTTTGACGCCATTGCCACTGCAGACGACAAGCGCGGGCTGAGACAAACCCTCGAGCCCGACCCTCCGCCCATCCCAGACCCGCTCCTCCCAGACAACATTTTGAACCCCAAAAGCCTATGCCCTTAACATCCTAAACTCTACAAATGCTTCATCCAGAATCCTAAACAAAGGAGCTCAGCTTTTCGAGGCCGTGTGTGTAGAAGGACTTTTCGCGGTGGCGGTCACAGGGCAAAACGACATTCCACAATTTGGTATTCATCGAGTGTACTGAAGAGTCTCCGGCACAAATTGCTCCTGCAGAAATTCCATCCCCCTGAGCTCTCCAGCGCACACTCGGATTAGCTCTGTTTACTGGTGTGTCTACGATATGTTTTCCTTTGCGGGACATGTTCCTCGTGCATCGTTGTTGCGACGCCTAGCTATAATGTGGGGAGCGGAGTTGGCTCGAATAGGCGCTGTCCAGGACCCTTGTTGCCGAGACTCTTTGCCAGTTCTGAAGCCGGGATTCAGGAGGGCTTTCAGGTGGAGTAGCTTGTGGTTCTGCT